AGCAGGCAGGAGCCCTCAGCCCTGCTGCTGATGAGAAACCCATATCCCGCAGCTGCTGGAGGTCCCACCCTTCCTCCCTGGCCACCCCTGGGACAAAGCGTAGCTCCTGCTTGGAGGGGAAATCCTCCCCTTCGCCCTCACCTCCCGTGGGGCTTGGAGCCAGTCAGGTCACCCTCAATCCCTGCTGCAGCAAGAGGATTTGGGGTGCAGGCTCCCAGAGTGCCACCTCTGTGTCCCCATATCCCAGTGGAGGTTTCTTTTACAGCCCCCTCGCCCTCTGCCCCCAGCCCAGCACACTGTGTCCCATCACCAGTGCTTCAGCCCAGCCTCTCCCTCAGCCTCCAGTGCTTCCAGCAAAATTCCTTTCTGGCCAGTCATTGCCGCCGCTCAGCCTTGACGCCTCTGGGACTGGCAGGGCTGGGCTTCCTCTTCCTGAGCCGCCCCAGCCCCGCCACGCTCCCGACCCCCTCCTCGCCTTCACCCAGTGCCGTGGCATTGGCCCTTTCCTGGGGGCACGAGGGCACAGGGCCTGCCAGCTGTGCCCACCCCAGGGTTCAGGCATCCAGTGGGGGTGCCCAGCTTCCCTCTCCCTCCCCGGGGCAGCCGCATCCCACACGCAGCCTGTGCCATGGTGGTCCCACCACCCCCAGTGGGTTTCTGTGAGAGGATGATTTACAGCCCCAGTTTGGGCAGGGAGTGTGCAGAGGATGACTGTGGTGAATCGCTCACTGTGAGGCAGCAGGGAGGAGTGGGAAGCAGCAGGGACGAGTGAGAGGCAGTGGCTTCTGGAAGGGAGCTCAGCCCCACGGAGGTGTGAGGACTCCTGCCAACATATCTGCCTTGCAGCACTGCTGCTCCCCCTCCCCTCCCAGCATCCACCCCAACTCAGGTCTCACATCCAGCATTTCTGGAGCTGTACCCTGTGCTGACGCCCACATCTTCCCTACACACAGCCAGCACCCACCTGTTCACCCCTCACTGCCAACGCTCAGCCCCAGCATCACCCCCTGGCACCCACAGTTCCCCTCAGCTTCCCACAGTGGTGCTGCCTCTCCTTATTAATTTGAGGATGAATGCTCTGCTGTTCTACAGTCCCGTTCACCTGTAGCTTTCCCAGCATTGTGCAGATATTAATTACTGATAATTAATTAAGTCAGTCATCCCCATTCCCCTGTGGAGATGCAGTCTCATAAACATGCTGACAGCAAACACAGTGTCAGGGCAGGCAGAGCTGGGTGGGAGCTTCCAGTTCCTGTTACTAATGGTCCAAACCCCACCTGTATCAGCTTGTACCTGATGGACCTTCCTGGAGGGCTAATGGGCTGGGGAGGGATGGGGAAGATAGGTGGAAAACCAGCAGCACCCGGTTTGGTCCCAGCAAGGTAGGATGGATGGATCTTTTATGCCTCTGGATGTCTCTGTGCAGCTTCTGCTCCTGGAAACTTGCTCCTAGTTTGCTGTGGCTGTGGGACATGGGGCTGCCTGGGTAGGAGGGAGAGGGGCCAACCTGCTGGTGGAGCTTGTTTTGAGCCACCTTGTTATTTGCATTGGTGTTGAGCTGCAAACCCTCCGAAGTAGATGGGAATTATCCTCTGTCAACCCTCCACTCCTGAAGGGTTCAGAGTGTTCCAGAGGCAGCATAAGGGTTCAGCATTTCCCCATCCCACTGCTCCTCAGTGGAGGGCTGGGACTCTGCAGGAAGAGGACAGGAAGACAAACAAGGTCGTTGACCCTCCCGAAGTGAAGGAGGGGGATTGCCCAGGGATGCACAGCAGGAACTTGCAGATTGCTCACTGCAGTGTGGCTTGGAGGATCCCTTGGGCAGGGTCCCTCTGCTCTCCTGGGTGACAGAGATCCTCTGGGCACCCATGGGTGTTATTTGGGGGTCTCTCCCCTGCCCAGGTCGCCTACTCCCTCACTTGTGCACAGCTGCTGCTGCCTGACCCCGAGGCTGCACGGGGCACCAATCCCTGACCGGAGGTGCCACCTTAATCCGGATCAGTGGGAAATCTGTCGAGTGCCCACGCAGCCCCGTGGCAGCTCACTGCCACTCCTGGGGCTCTGCAGATCAAGAGCCAGCCGGGACATGGGCACAGCCCTGCAGGAGCCCAGCCCTGGGCAGCCTTTCTGTCTGAATGTGGAGCACAAATGCATTAATTGTTGGATGCAGCCGGCTCACCCAGCAGCCGCTCCACAAGCAAAAGCAGGAGCAAACCAGGGTGAGATTAAGGCATTCCTTGGGCAGCTCCCACCTCCTTGCCCTGGCCGCTGCATCTCGGCCTGCGAGGCCACTAATGCTACTTACATTATTACTGGATTATTTGGGTGTAATGAGCTTTGCCCCGCTCAGCTGTCCCTCTGCTCCGGGCTGTAGTGATGTGTAATACTTCCTGCGCGAGGCCACGAGGCGGGCAGCTGCCGGCTCGAAAACAAGCAGAGCCCCAGCAACACAATGCACTAATGTTCCCGGACAAAATTCCAGCATGGGCTGGAGGTTAATCACAAATCAGGGAGCTTTGGGTGTAGCGCTGAACAAAGCCAGCGGGCGGGAGGGAGATGGTTCCCTAAGCTGGGTCCTGACCTGTCTCCATGGGCACAGGCAGGAGCGACCGTATCGGTTTCATCTCTTTCTGTGGTGGAACACAGCTATAACCATCTCTTCCATCCTTGGCTCCTTTTCTTCTCTCTTCCTCCCATCAGACCTGCCGATGCAGGGGCTTGGCGATGTGTTGCTATGGACACCAGGAAGTTTTTCCCTAGAGACCAGAAGCCCGGAATAAGTGATGCCTGCATTTTCTGACATAGATTATTATTTTTTTTTCTTCCCCTTTTTTTTATTATCAGTGTTTGTTTAAATGTTGATTAATTCCCAGCTTTTCCTCCCGCCTCTGTCATGCCTTTCTCACCGAGCTTTGTGGATTTCCATGGCTGTGTCCCAGGGCTTGGCTTCTGCTTCATTCTGGGCCAGGGTGTGAGCACTGGGTGCGTGGGAGGAAGTTTCAGTGCTGTAACTCTTGCTCTGCTGGAGACCCTCACAGAAAAGATCCCCCATTTGTTCCAGCCTTGGGAAATCCTGTTGGTCCCCCCAGGCTGCTGCAGAGCTAATGGACACACAGCACCACCAGCAGCTGCCACAGGAGGTCCTGGATTCCTGTTCCCAGGGCTTGTGCCCCTTGGCAAAGCATGCTTGCGAAAGCATGGGTAGAGGTACCCTGCTCCTTTCATTGTGTCTGGGAGCTTGACGTGATTAGGTTTAGACTAGTTAGTGTCTCTCCTGGTCCGAGCTCCAGGCCTGACTCCCATTTTGTTGCTCCTCTGTTGGCACTTGGTATCCTTTAGTGCCTTGTGTTAACCTCTGAGAGCTCTTGGCCTGCAAAAGGATGATCAGGAGGGAAGTCCCAGCAGCTCTTGGAAGGCTGGAGCTGAACTTTGCAGCAGGGCACTCACAGGAATGTACCTCAGCTTCCCTTGCAGCCCTCAGGTCAAGCTTGGCGAGGCAGCCTCTCCCCAGCAGCTCCACAGCCCAGGGCTGGAGCAGTGGTCAGGGAGTGTCAACCCATTTCCCAGAGGGAAGTAGTGGTGCACGTCTGCAGAGTGTATCTCTGGGCAGTTGGCATACAGAATGTGATTTTACTGTGAGACAGTCTCAATGTCATTTTGACTTCTCGTTCTTTGCTTTTGAAGCCAATAATGGGCTGTTTCTGTTCCCTGTCACTTGATCTGCCCCTCAGTGAGTGAGGAGCCTTTGATGAGTGATCTCCTCTGTCCTGTGCCCCTTATTCCCAGCTCTGGAGGGACTTCACAGACTGGCTTTCAATCAGCTGCTTCTCTTGTTCCTGGGAATGCAGTTCAGCACTGGGTCAGAATATCTCTGGCCCATTGAAATCCTGCCTTTTGCTGCTCGAGTTGCCCAAGTCGTGACTCCCTCTCGGAAATCTTACAGCAAATAAGCCCTGTGCTGCTTGGCCCCTGCCTGCAGGGGCTGGCATGGTGTCAGCCTGCCCAGACCTCTTGTGCAGTCCAGGCGCTTGCAGGTGGGGCAAGGAAAGCAGGAACTGCTCAATAACATGTTTTCTCTGTGTGTTTGGGGGTTGTGTTGAGGCAGCAGAAAGATCCCCTGCTCCATATGAATCTGACCCTGGATCACGGGGTGAGGCTGCTGAGCATCACCTTTGTGGTGTTCTGCAGAGCTGCTGGAGGGGGATGAGGAGTGGAGGTGAGGCTCAGGACTCTTTTCAGCAGCTGAAAGATGGCTCTTCCCCACAGTTGTGTGGGAGCCACGTCACCCTCCCCTCCCCTGTGGCCCCCGGCTCAGCACGGAGCCCGCACGCGCCACGGTGCCACTCCGGAAGGAGCAGCAGGGCTGGGATGCTGCTCCTTGCTGAGGAGGTGAGAGTCCCACCAGGGCCAAACACTCAACTGCTGCGATGTTTGAAAGCTCCTTGAAAAATTACTTCTTCTTCCAGTTCCTAACCAAACAAATGGAAGCTCCAAAAAAACAGCAGTTCCTTCCCCTGCCGCTGCCAAATCGGTGCTCGCTGGGCTGTTTCTGAGTGGGTCAGCAGCAAGCCAGGGCTGCCTGAGGGCTGAGCAGAGCAGTGGGTCCTTGTGTTGTCCTTCTGCACCTGCTTAGGAGACAGGAGAGCGTCCAGGGAGGCGTGCTTGGCTGTGGGGCAATGCTGCAGGTGACTTGGCTGTCCATGCAGGGACAGGGAGCGGAGCATGGGCACTTGCACTGCAGACCAGTGAGCCAGAGGTGGGACGTGGCTCTTTTGTGGGACAGGGAAATTCCAAATGCAGACAGGGATGGGCACCGAGCTCAGTCACTGGGTGCTATCCTTTGCCTTTAGTGATGGCCTGATGTCCAGCGGCCGTGTCGCTGTCACCAGAGGGCTCTTTGGCAGCTGCCCAGCAGAGGTCAGTGCAGTGACACCCAGCTGTGTCCCAGATGCTAACAGACCCCTCCCCTCTCTCGCTTTCCCCTCCCTCTTTTCTGCCAGCAGTTCCCTATCAGCAAAACCCCTACACCCCTGGGAGCAGCTCCTCCGTGATCCAGTGCTACCGCTGTGGGGACACCTGCAAGGGCGAGGTGGTGCGTGTCCAGAGCAACCACTTCCACATCCGCTGCTTCACCTGCCAAGGTAGGTGGCCAGGTTGCCCCACAACCCTGGGTGCAGTCTGGAAAGCAAAATTCTGGGGACAGACTTACCTGGCCTACTGAGATGCCCAGGGGTGGCACCTTCCTGCAGGGGGGAAGTGTTGTGGCACAGGTGGGAGGTAACGGCACGGTGCCCCTGCCTGATGCCAGAGCCAGAGGCTGTGAAGGGATGGCTGAGACCTGGGCAATGTCACTACCCTTGAGCAGCCTCAGTGCCAGCAGTGTGCAGGTCCCAAATGTGCCCATGGCCCATCTGTGATCTGGCTGGGCCACCACGTCCCTCAGCTGCCTGCCCACACCCAAATCAGGAGGAGGAGGAGGAGGAGGTATTGCCAGCCTGGCTGAGAGGCAGCGAGGTGATACCTGGAGTGGCTCCTGGTGGGGCTGGGGCTGGGTGACAGATCACTGCCGTCTGCCCATGAGATGCGACTGAGGTGTCATGGGATGCAGCTGGGACTCAGTGGCCCTCAGGGCTGGCAGAAAGGGAGGAGAGAGGTTTCTTGGATCCTCCCTGAGTGCCAGAGGAACGCTGCAGAGCTGTAAAGCTAATGGTGCAGAGCTGTTGCTGAAGGGCTCCTCAGCACCTTTATTAGAGCAGCTGCTCTCAGCCAGGCCAGTGGCTGCTTCTCTAGGCTGTAAAACATCCCATTTCAGGCCTTTTTAAAGGTCTCTGGTCTTCCATGCTCCCAACACTCTGTACTAAGCAGGACATAAATCCCCATCCCCCTGGCCATACTTTTCTGCTCTTCCCCAGAGAACAGCTGGTTTGGCTGCAGGGGACACTTCCCTGGACTGTCCCCACCCCTGCTGCAGCCCTGTTCCCTGTGGCATGGGCAGTCCCAGATCTCTGGGAAAGATGTGGGTCCTGGGCTGCCCTCAGGGCTGACCTACACCTGCAGGGCACCATGCTGAGCATCCTGCCCTTTCCTAGCTCAGAGGTGGAGGATCCAGCAGGAGCTGAGCATCCAGACAAAGAGCTCTGACAGCTGCCAGCTTCAAAGGGCCCAGGAGCCAGCAGGGAGAGCCTGGCAGTGCTCACTGCCCGATTTCTGAGTGAAAGGGAATAAATAATGAGAGGAAATCCTCCTGTCTCACCTTCCCTCACAGCTCTCACCTCCTGCCACCTCTGGCTGGCTGCTGCCAGCTCCCACAGCTGCCTGTCCCTGCCCTGTCCTCCGGAGCCTGGCATGGGAGTGCAGCCCTGGGATATGCCATAGGTCCCAAAGCAAACAGGGCATAAACCAGCTGCATTTTATCTTGCTGCTGCTTCCTGATGCTGTCCCAGAGTTGGTGACCTCTCCCTTGTTGCTGACAGGCTGTTTTGGAGAGCAGTGGGTGCTGGCTCTATGCCTCTCGGGTGGGTGGGTACTCACAGCACCAGGGAGCAGCTTGGCCAAGGGATGCTCCAAAGGAGAGAAGCTGCATCTCTGCCCCCATGGGCCCTGCAGCAGTGGGTCCAGCTGTCCCCTGCCACCCTGGGGAGGGTGGCTGCTGTGTGGGCTGGCCTGCAGGTGCAGGCAGGGTGTTAAAGGACAGGACAGAGGGGTGCTTGGGGCCGAAGGATAAAACAGAGACCAAGATGGGCTGTGCCAGTGGGTGCTCAGTCGCTCTGTAGTCCCCCCTCCACCCTGTCACCCTGCAGGACGGGTGATGGGCATTGTGCAAACACCCCAGGACCTGGTCCCTGTGCCACTCCTGCTCTCAAGGTCTCTCTGGATGGAGAACTCGTAGGAGGGAAATGATGCTGAGGCCAGGGCTGGCCACGTCTCCTTGGATTACTGTGATGAGCTGTGCACCACCCACGGTTCCCACAGCAGGGAAGGAAGCGAGGTTGGGCTGGACACCTATGGAAAAACAAGCACTGAGAGCTCCAACCCCAGTGTGTCCCAGAACCTCTTCCCATTAGGGCACAGCTTTGTGTCCAGGCCAGGGAGTGGAGATGGCTCATCACAGAGGCAGCCATGCCCCAGGACATGGAGAAGACCTTTCCCTAGTTGTCCCTAGGGCATTCCCAACTCTTTGCTGGTCCTGTTCTCACCTTCCTGACACAATGAGAATGTGAAATGGAAGGGCTGAGCCTGAGCCAGGTGCAGTGGGTCCAGGAGGGGATGCCATTGGCCCTGCCAGGCTGTTTGTTCCTGGTGCAGGGGGGGCTGCAGAGGTTCCCTCCCAGCACTGGGATTTCCTCTGGGAGCGCCCAGCCCTGCTGTCCCGGCAGTACCATCCTGCACCCGCCACAGCCCAACACTGACATCTTGTGGTGCTGAGAGAAGGCCCCAGCCCTCTGGTGGGAAGGGAAACCCTCTGAGATACCTGCAGGAAACTGTGCCCCCAGGGATGCCCTGGGACTGCTGCTGGAGAGGCAGCAGAGGTGGGCTCGGGGATCCTGGGCTGGACCTGCCCAGTGTCCCCGTGACGGGTGTGTGTCCTCCCCTCCAGTGTGCGGCTGCGACCTGGCACAGTCGGGCTTCTTCTTTAAGAACCAGGAGTACATCTGCACCCACGACTACCAGCAGCTCTACGGGACCCGCTGCGACAGCTGTGGGGACTTCATCACTGGAGAGGTCATCTCTGCCCTGGGGAGGACCTACCACCCCAAGTGCTTTGTCTGCAGCACCTGCAGGTGAGCGGAAATCATCACCAAGGGGTTCGTGACCCCCTGGAGAAGCCCTGAGCGGCTCCTGGCTGTGCACCAGGTTAGCCTGCAGCCCCTTGTGCCCCACTCAGCACCACAGCAGGCTCTTCCTCTGTGTTCTCTCAGTGGAAACCCTTGGGAGGCACTGAAATGGTTCCAACCATTCCCTTTGCAACCTGGAGACCTTCCTTAGTCCTCCCACCTCAGCACATGTGCACCCTCGCTGCCTCCCCTCGTAGCCCTTGCCCAGAGCCCGTCTGCTCCCTGGCACCGAGGGTCCTGCTGGCCCCTGTGGTGGGAGCTCCTGGGCAGCCCCAAGCACTGCATGCAGGGGAACGAGCAGCTCACACCTCCCCCTCTCCTTGGCCACAGGAAGCCATTCCCCATCGGAGACAAGGTCACGTTCAGCGGGAAGGACTGCGTCTGCCAAAACTGCTCCCACTCTCTCATCAGCACCAAACCCATCAAGATCCATGGGCCGAGCCGTAAGTTGACTGCTCTCCTGTTACGTGGTGGAGGGACCTCATGCCCGTGGACAATGCTTGGGGATAGTGACAGGACAGGCTTAGGGGCCAGTGTGCAGCACTCCACAAGCCACAGGCGTTCACAGAGGTTTCGGAGGAGGAGGAACAGGGTAGTCCTGTGGCTCCACCCAGGATTGCAGGTCACTGCTGGTTTCGGAAACTCCCTTGCCCTGTTTGTGACCTGGGCAGGTGCCACCACCCTGTCGGGTGCTGTCTGAGGTCATGGGGAGGTTTTGGAGCTGGGTTTGCTCTGAGTCAGTTGGTTTGTGTTCAGCTGCACCAAGGTCCGTGTCCAAGTGCAGACCCTGGGACTACTCACCTGGCTGTCCTAGCACTGGCATTGCTGTCTTTGCAGGTACTGAAAGACTTTTTACATTCATCCCCTTGCCATGATGAACCCCTGCTAAGATGCAGCTGAAGCAGTGGACAGGCTCTTTTGGGTGGATTTGGCCCAGCTTTTGAGCTCCGGTTGGGATTACCTTCCCTTCATGCCATGCTTGGCAAACCCTGGTGCTTGAGGCAGAGTCCTGCAGTCCAGGGCCAGAACCAAGACTGTGGTGTCACCCCGTCACCATGGTGGTAGTGCTGGTGGCTGAGTGGGTTTACTTACAAGTTGGTGCCCCCCCTCAAGCTGCCTCCCCCCAGCTCTCCCCATGGCCTTGATGGAGTTAAGGGATGTAGCAGGGATCAAATGAGCCTCAGCCAGAGCACAGGGATTCCTCCACCTTCCTCCATCACACCCTGAGCTGCTCAAAGCCAGGCTGTGCCTGTCCCACAGCAGCCACTGTGACCTGTAGCAGGGCCAGGGGAAGAGCAGCCACATGCTCTGCCTCTCACTTTCCTCTCCCTTCCCATCCCCTTCCCGCCAGTGCTCCTCCCCGGCCTGTGGAGCGGGGTTGCCTGAGGGCACCATGCTTTATTCATGGACAGCTGCAGGCAGATGTAGCCTGCCTCCTGCATGTGTCCCTCACAGCACCAGTGGCCCTGGCAGTGCCACCCAGGAGGGTGGCCAGGGAGGTGTGTGGGCTGGAGCCCGTGCTGGTACACTCTGTAGGGATGGCATCTCTAGGAGGAGGATGCTGAGCCTCTCCCTGCAGCTCCAATCCTGCAAGCAACTCCAAACCAGAGAGACAAAAAGGCTCAGCCTGCTTTTTTCTAGGGGTCACAAATTCTCCCCCCTTAGCTTTGTCCAGTGGGCAGGGACTTGGCACAGATTAGCTTGGGATGGGCTGAGTGGAACAGCCTGTCTGCTCCTGCTGCTTGTGCAGTGCCATGGCAGGGAGGGGGTTAAGGAGAAACCCCATCTGGGCAGACCTGCTGCCCACGGGGAGAAGAGGACAAGGAAGAGTCAAGGTCAGGGGTCCGAGGCCCATGTGCTTCCTGCTCCCAGCCTTGATGGGAGCCAGGGGAAGCAGGGAAGGAAGGGAGTCTCGTAAATACTGCGGCAGGGCCGGACGTGGCTGCCGGAGAGCACAGCCCTTCCTCTGCTGCTCTCACTGCCGGACACTTCCCACTGCTCCTGCCTCCAGGGAGCCCCTGGGGACCTGCCAGGACAGCATAGCTCCCTGGCCCTGGCTCAAACTTGTCACCCAATGGGGAGACCCAGCTCTGTGCTGCGGTGGGTGCGTGGCTGGGGTGGCTGGGTGCCAGCAGTACCACAGAGGACCCAGCTCCAGCCTTCCTCCAGGTTCGTATGCTGGGAACAAGCAGAGGTGGCATATTTCCATAAAGAAATGATCCCCAAGAGGCTGCCTCTGGAGTGATCTCAGGAGCTGGGTGTTTATAACAGCATCATCCCTAGAAAAGTCCTCTGGGCAGGGCTTTCCTCTGGATGTGAGGGGTGTGCCAGGTTAGATGACTGGGGGGTGCCTTGGTGTGGGCCAGCAGATGTGGGTGTTCCTGCTATGCTGCCGTGGTGCCACACTCCCCCCACCCTTTTGTCCCTCCAGACTGTGCTGGCTGCAAGGAGGAGATCAAGCAAGGCCAGTCCCTCCTGGCCCTGGAGAAGCAGTGGCACGTCAGCTGCTTCAAGTGCCAAACGTGCGGGATCATCCTCACTGGCGAGTACATCAGCAAGTGAGTGCCACCTTCCTGGCAGCACTGCCAGGCTGTGCCACGAGGGGCTGGGGGTTCAGCAAGGGGCTGTCCACTCACCTGCTGCTCACCCCCTTCTCCTCCCTCTCCCACAGGGATGGCATCCCGTACTGTGAGTCTGACTACCACGCCCAGTTTGGCATCAAGTGCGAGACCTGTGACCGGTACATCAGTGGCCGGGTCCTGGAGGTGAGTCCTGCGACCACAGCTGCCCCATCCTGCCCCTGTGTCATGGTACCCTCCATCTCTGGAGGCCCCAGCTCTTCCTGCTGGACACAGCCTGACCACCTTCTCTGCAGAGTGGGAGTGGGGAGGGAGCACCAGAGCTTTAGAGAGGTGGCTTGGATGCCTGAGCTCTGGAAACAGCCAGAATGGCCTGGATGTGCTGGGACATGTCTGGAGCCCAAGATGTGGGGACATTAGCCTTAAACAGCTGCTGCCATGCCTGGCTCTGGATGTCCCCAGCACACTCACCCCAGCCTGCCTTCTGAGCCCATCCATGTGCCGGCAGCCTGCCTGTTGCCTTGGAAACATATCCAGCAGAGCTGCCCGCTGCAGAGCCTGGATGAGGGGCTGCAGCACCCTACCCATGGGCAGCAGTCCCCATGGCACACTCCTTTGCAAGGCAGCAATCAGAGCAGGGGGTCTTCTTCAGTGGTTCAAATCAGAGGGGCTTTGCTTATCGCATTGCTGGACAGTAGGACCTGCTCTGGCAGAGCCACAGAGGAATGCAGGGATTCCACAGGGATCCCACAGCAAGGTGGCTGCACAGCCAGTGAGGGGAGTGAGGGTTTCTGTTGGGAAGGGGTAGAGGTCCATCAGGGCTGGTCCTTCCCGGCAGGCAGGTGGTCACTCCTGCCTGTGGCTCCTGCTCCTGGAAGTGGCATGTCCTATCATGCTTGCTGTTTATACCCCAGTGTATGCAGGGGGGAAAAAATCCCAGTCTGAGGGTAACTCAAAGGCTCAGGAGGCACAGAGAAAGATGTCAGGGGGAAGCCTGCTGAGATTTTTAGACCCCTTGATGATACTACAGAGCCGGGCTATGGTGACACAGAGGCAGCAGTGCTGAAAGCATTCTCAGTCACTCCAGAGACCTCCCCTTCTGCACAACTGAGCAGGAGGGAAGGGCTCCCACATCTCTGTCATCCCCAGACTGCAGCAACAGGAAGCTTTATCCCAAAATCAGAGGTACCATGGCTCCACAATGAGCCATGCAACAGGTGCTGTGGGCTGGGTGACTGACTGTGCAGGTCTCCAGCCTGCTGAGGGTTGTTCCAGGACACCTCCAGCCTGTTTCACTCATAGCCTACCAAGAAACCATCACCCTCTCTGGTCCTGCCGGCTGGGCTGCCCTGGGAACACCCAGCCTTCCAAGGAGCCTCTCTGAAGCTGGGACCAGTTGCCAGGAACCTTTCAGCATCTTCCCCCTCTCTGGGGGGCTGCCTCTGCCTGGGAAGGCTTTCTGCTGACTCCCAGCACTTAGTCCCAGCACTGGCTGCTGGGAGCATGAGCTCAGCACTGCGGCAGCTGCCAGGGGCCGGCTGCCCATCACGGGGTCACTTCATCAGCAAATGTCTGAACGGAACAGAACAAAGCCAGAGGCTCCCCGGACATCAAATCCCTGCTGCTTCTCCCCTGGGAAGTCTGGTTCCTGATAGCCCCGTGCTGGGATAGAGCACCCTCAGCCACCCAGAAGTGCAGTTTGTGGTACAGGGGTGTGTGGTACAAGGGGGGGTGTTATGTGGTATGGGATGTTCAGTGTGTGAAGTGGGTGAGAGGAGTCAGAGGGGACCTGAGACCCCTGTCATAGAATCATAGAATGGTTTGGGTTGGAAGGGACCTTAAAGATCACCTCATTCCAACCCCCTGACGTGGGCAGGGACACCTTCCATTATCCCAGGTTGCTCCAAGCACCGCCCAACCTGACCTTGTACACTTCCAGGGATGGGGCATCTGTTCCAGGCTCAGGGGCCATGCAGCCCACAGTCCCTACCCTCCCTGGTATGTGCCTGCTCACAGTATTGAATCATCTCTGAGTCCAGAGGCTTTAATTGTCTTTTCTGTCAGAGTGTTAAATGGAAAGGGTGCCTTTAAATAATTTTAGGCATTAAGGAGGCTTCTCATGCTATCCCAGCAGCCTTCAGGCATTCCCAACTGCTCTAAGCTGTGCAGCCAGGCTTGGATGATTAATGAGTCTTTAAGGGACCCAAGTGATAACAAGCAGTTCTCTTCCCTTGCAGCCTCTACCAGCCTTGTATAAGCTGTAACATTAAACAATACAAAATTGTGCATGGTTTGGAGAGTTGCTGCTCAGGAGGAGTGCTGGGTGTTGGGATGTTGGGTGGCTTTTGGAGAGATCTGTGATGACAAGCAAGTTGGGACTGGGCTGGTACATACCACAGAGGAGCAGTCAGTCTCCCTCCTAATGGCATCTTAGAATCTTAGAATGGTTTATGTTGGAAGAGACCTGAAAGCTCATCTCGTTCCAACACCCTGCCATGGGCAGGGACACCTTCCACTAGACCTATCCAACCTGGCCTTGAACACCCACATCCTGATCTGTAAAGCATCCCTTTTAGCACAGTCTGACCTGTGACAGCAGATAGGAAAAGATGGATATATATGGGGGTTTTTTCCTTACTGTCAGCACTGCAAGCTGTTGAGGATACTGGCAGAGTCCAAGAGCACTAAACCATTCCCAGATTCAGAGAGGTATGGGGGAAGGAAGAAAGGAAGAGGGGCCCAAACTCATTTCCCCTGCCTGCACTGAAATCTTCCACTCATTTTTGTCATAAACTGGAGGGGAAAGGCCACTGGCTGCCATTTGCACCCCAAGGACACTAATTCCAGGCTGATTTCTATGGGCAACCCACGGACAGGTTCTCAGTTAGCCTTGCAGCAGATTTCCCTGTTGATCCTTCCTGTTTCAAACTGGCTCCAGCCCTCTCTGTCATAACCCCCCTTCTTTGTCAACGAGAGCCTCATCTTCCCTCTGCCACCTTCAATTCTTCTTCTTCTCCTCTTGGATTATTATAGGAGTAAAAAGTTCTTTTCTGGGCTCCCAGCCCAGAAAGTGAGCCTATAATTGAAATGCTAGGAGACACTTTGAGGGGGAGCAAGCTCCCAATTTAAGCTGTCAAAGAGCAAAAGGAGCAGCCCAGCTTCCTCTCAGCTGGGGAAGAGCATGTCACTAGCACTGAAGTTTAGGCATCGCTCCACCAAAGGAGAAAAGTATCTTTAGGGAGAGGAGCTGGCAGTGGTAGCCAGGGAGGGTCTGGCAGCAAGAAGAAACCTTTGCTTTGCAAGGTTTTTCTCTGGGGTCCTTCTTCTCCCTTTACTGCTTCCCTGTTGTGGCATCCTGTGCCAAGTTTGCTGGTTTTTTTCAAAGCTGTAGAGGAAGAGCTGGTGCAAAGCACGGCTGCTTAGCTGAGTGCTGCTGCAGAGGGTCTTGGCTATTTGCAGAGTGCAGGGATGATTGATTAGGGTTTGTAAGGTACCTTCCCTTGGGGCTTGGTTCCTCCTGGTCCTGCTTTCCTGTGTGTTGGAAATCTCAAGATCAGAAAATTCACGGTCTGACTTGGAGTCCAGCGGATCAGAAACACTCACAATGAAGTGATCTCTGGTTTTCTCCGTGTGATGTGAAGTTCTCCAAGGCCACCTCAGGCAGTTTTGTCCCATTCACCTTGTCACTGTCTGCAGCAGTGAGGGCTGTCAGGGTCACTCGCCCTCAGGGACATGAGCAGGTCACCATGTCCTGCCTTGCTCAGGGGTCCCTGTTCTCTGCTCACTCTTGCAGGCAGGAGGGAAGCACTACCACCCCACCTGTGCCAGGTGTGTCCGCTGCCACCAGATGTTCACAGAAGGAGAGGAGATGTACCTCACAGGTAGGGGTGAGGAGGGACCCCCAGCCCTGTGTCGGGGTGTGGACCAGCATGACTTTGTGTGGGTGTCCTGGCTGGAGGGACTTTGGGGTTTGAGTCCTTATGGCACTGAAAGGGTCTCTTTGTTCAGCAATGCCAGAGACCAACCCCCCACCTCCACTGCTCCCCAGCACCTGCACTCTTCCTGGTTAGGGTGGCAATCATTTCTCTCTGTGAAACCTTCCCTGCTGCTGAGCTGGAGGAGACTGTTCCTCGTCAGAAGCTTTCTGTTCCCTGTGAGTCTCCCTGCACAGCTGGAGGGCACTGCTGGGCATGCCTGGATGTGTCCCTGGCCTTCTCCCAGTGCACAGAGCCTGGAATGGGTGCAGGGTGCCTGCCTCCCTGCTCTCCCCAGCCCCAGGGGAGGGTGGTCCTTCCCCAGCTCCCCCAGTCCAGGTTAGCTGGCAAGCAGCACTGGAGGGGTAAAGCTTTCACTCAGCACAGATGGAGGGTTTGGGTTTGGTTTTGGCAGGAGCTTATCCCCTTAGACCTGTTTTAGGGGCTGTTTCCAGCGCAGAGGGAGGGCTTGTTTTCTCTCAGCAACCCCTGCTTGCCTGTCACAGTTTAGTAGGTTTGGCCACTGCTCCTCAGTGCCTGGGAGCTGTTTCATTCCTTAGTACAGACACACAGTCCCCAGTGCCTTGCGGCTTCCCACCAGGCGTGTTCCTATGGCACTGCTGGAGGTGGCAGGGACAGGATGGGACTCTCCCATGGCAGGGGGACCTGGATGATCCCTGGCAGTCGGGGTGAGCAGTGTGTGGAGCTGAAACACTTTCCCTTTGCTGCATTGCAGGCTCTGAAGTGTGGCACCCCATCTGCAAGCAGGCGGCCAGAGCAGAGAAGAAGCTGAAGGTAGGCAGCAGGGTGAGGGGCATCTTAAGAGGTGGCACATCCCAGGTGATGCCCCCAGGTCCCTGCAAGAGGGGAACTGTTGTGGCAGTGTCCAAGCTTGGAGTGGCTTCCCGAGGCAGCCCAGAGGATGGTGGGTGGCCATGGCTATTAATGGACACCTGCCTGGGAGGGGGCACAGCAGTCCCCTCACAGTGCCCACACCCCTCTCTGATCCTGACTGGCCATGGGAACAGCTGTCTGAGGGGTCTTGCCCGGCCACTCCAGATCTGTCCCTGAGAGCTGGATGCAGGGCAGCCTGAACAGCCGTGGGCACGGGCAGGCAGCAGGTGAAAGTGCAAAGAAACTGGACCTTCAGTGAAATTTTGCCCCCAAACCAATTATTTGGCTTCTGTACCCAGCATGTTCCTGCTCGGGGGTCCCTCCTTGCCATGCTCTCACCTGCCCTCCACCTTTCTGCCTCCACAGCACAGAAGGACGTCGGAAACCTCCATCTCCCCGCCTGGTTCCAGCATTGGCTCCCCGAACCGTGTCATCTGCGTAAGTACAGCTCTGCCCCTCATCCAGGGCCCCAAGGAGGGGATCAGCAGTTTCCAGAGCTGCTCTTCAGTGTGAGGTGTCCCCCAGGGACAAGCCCACAATTTGGGGACAGCTGGGGACAGCACAGACAAGCCATGTCCCCTTGCCCCAGAGCCATGCTGTGCCACCAGTGCAATTGGCACGGATCAGGAGCACTCAGAGGGGCACAGTCCTACCCTCCCAGCTCCTCTGCCCCTACCCACTGCTGCCTCTCAGGCATCTCCTCTTACCTCTTCCTGCTGCTGGGGTGATGGTGGGCTCTGCCTGCTCCACACTGTGCATTCCAGCCTTCCCTTCCTTCTCTCCTCCTCTTCCTTTCCGTCTCTCTGTCTCTGTCTCTCCCTCTCCCTAGGCTAAAGTGGATAATGAGATCCTTAATTACAAAGACCTGGCAGCTCTTCCCAAGATTAAAGCCATCTATGAAGTGCAGCGTCCTGACCTCATTTCCTACGAGCCCTATCACAGATACACGTCGGATGAGACACTGGAGAGATATAGCTATGGGGAGGTACTGAGTGTTGATATGCCCAGTGCTGGGATGCACAGGGACCAGGCCCCAGTTTGGGGGAGAACTGTGTGTGGGTTCACTCACTCCAGTGGGAATACTGCAGGGAGGCAGGTGTAAGGGTAGGATCCCTCCTGGAGGCTCATCGCCACCAAGAAGAGGGCCTGGGCTGAAAATAAAATAAAATGGAAATGAAACGTGGATGCTGCTGCTGTAGAGTAAGAAAGAAACCGGTGACCTTACCAGTCACCAGTGACCTTACCAGTCACAGACCCGACTGCAGGGATAGTGCTGCGTGGGAGGAGTGATGTGGCAGGGGAGGAGCCCATCACAGCCCACAGCAGGGGAGGAGGAGCTCACACAGCAGCACATGTGCATCCCTCCGGGCTGGAGGGACAGACAATCCCCAGGCTCAGCCCAGAGCCTGGACCCTGGCACACAGTCCTCCTGTCCACCCAGCACAGCACAGCACCCCTGGAGCACAGCAGGGCTGCCCTGTTTGGTGCTGGCCCTGCAGGCAGGGGAAGGGGCATGGTCAGTGCGATTCCACAAGAGTGTGATGAGATGGTGCCTGAGCAGCACATGGCATGGGACTGTCCTGCCTGCCCAGGCGGGCTGGGACTGCTGGATGAGTTCAGTAAGTCCATGGAAGAAGAAGGTCTGAGCAGCTCACACAGAGATGGGGCATCTGAGGTAGTCTTGGAAGAGGAGTTGGTGATGGCCAGCAGCAGGAGCATCTCTTACATCACCAGCCCCAAGGTTTTGTCCCACACCGGGCTTCCTCCAGCCCCTGCAAGCATGGTGCAGGCAGCATGGCCATGGCCCACTGTGGAGCACCCAGGGGCCAGCAGCTGCCTTCCCCCCTTGCAGCTGCCACACTGAGGTCTCTGAGAAGGGGTGCAGGCTGCTGCTTCCTCATGTTAGTTTCTGTCTTGGCCAGGGACTCCCTGCCCAGTGTCCTGTACCACCAGCCACCCTAACTGCCTGACAGCTGTAACTTGGAGAAAATGAGCTGCTGTGGGATCCTGGTCTGTCACTGCTCCTCTTAACCATGTGCTGTCTCTCTCTCTCTCTTTTCCTTCCCACTTTGCCTCCTGCTGCCTCCAGTCCCTGGGGACCCTCTCCCCATACTCACAGGTAATGCCCCCGTGGGCACTGGGGGGTCTGTCACCTGCTGCTGCTCCAGGATGTCCCTCTGCCCAGGGACAGCTGGGGCTCTGCTGATCATCCCCCACAGCTGTTGGCTGCCCCAGGGTGGGATCCCTGTCCAGGAGAGTCCTGTCCTTCAGGCCCTGAGGAGAACAGGGTGCAATCCCTCCCTAGCACAATGGACCCGGGGTGCAGAACCAAGCACAGGGGAAGGAGATGATCTCCAGGCAGAAAGCCTCTGGCTGGACACTGTCACCTGGTCTCAAACTTTGGGCTTTGCTGCCTGTGCTTTGGCAGCAGGGGAGGCAGTGCAGGGTGGGGACCCCCTCCAGCCAGGACATGCACTGCCCATAGTGTCACCCTCCCGGGCTGCCCCAGGCACAGGGGTTCCCATCCGTAGTTCTAACACCAGTTCTAACTCCTGCCAGTTCTAACACCACTCTTTCCACACCTTCCCCATCCCCAGGACATCTATGAGAGCTTTGACACGCGGCAGAGGCGAGCCTCCAGCCCTGGCTACATCGACTCCCCCACCTACAGCCGCCAGGGCATGTCCCCCACCATCCCCAGGTCCCCCCACCATTTCTACCGCTCAGGTGAGGATTTCAGCTGCAACCCCAGGCTGAGCTAAGCTCAGACCCCCAAGTGGAGTGGGGATCACCAAAATGTCCCTGAGACTTCTGTGGTCTCTCCTCTAGCAAGCAGGCAGGAGGCCTGCGGGGGGGTGTCCATCAGGGAGGCAGTGACCAACTCTGCTCTGGGCATCCTCTGGTTCCCCCGACTCTTGTCTTGCGAGCAGCAAGGAGAGGCTGAGAAGGCTTTGTGGCTCAGACCTGAGCTGGGGCTCATGGAGGATAGGGATTGGGGAGGCAGGTGACCTCCAGGTCTGGTGAAGAGCCCTTCAGCTGTCTTGGTAGCTGTGAGAGGGGTGTGCACGAGAGTGCTTGTGCCCAGCCAGTGCTGTAAGGGAGGTCCTTACACACGCACTCGTGCATGCACGCACACCCCGGAGCATGTCGGGGGGAAGCAGAGCGTGCCTGTGCCATGTCTCCTGTCCTTTGGAGCTGGGGAGGAACGACTGGGAAGACCTGAGGTCAGTAAGTCCAGAGGTCCTGCAAACCCCAGCGCTTCACCGCCAAGGGTCTGTCACCGTTTGTCTCTGCAGTACGCTCGGCTTTCCTGTCACCAGCGGTGGGGCAGCTGGCTGTCCTGTACCAGCACCTGCACGTGGGGTTTCCTCTGCATCCCATCTTCCTCCGGAGATGCGGGAAATCTCCCCCTGCTCCATCACTCCCCATCCTGGATCACGGCCCGGCTCACGTCCCTGTCACCCCCGCCACATGGTTCACCCCTGCTCTTCTAACACCGCTGCATTTAACACTCATTTTCTTCTGCCTCTTGTTCTCTCTCTCGGTCACTTACGGCTGCTTCTGCTCGGCACCGCGTAGGCACCGAGAGTGGGCGCAGCTCCCCCTACTATAGCCAGTTAGATGTGAGGTCCTCCACTCCAACCTCATACCAAGCACCCAAGCATTTCCACATCCCAGGTAGGCTCTGGAGCGCCCCGGTCCCTGGGGAAGCGCCGTGTCTGTGGCATGCCCGCATGTGCCGTCCCCGCTGTGTCGCATGCGTAGCTCCGCCGCCTGCCTAGAGCCAGCTGGCAGCAGGATCTACCCCTGGTAGAGGCCATCCATAAACAGGACCTGCAGCTTGAACCCTCCTCCCTCCCCATCACCACCCGGAGGTCCCAGAGCCGCCCGGCGTCTGCTTGATCCTTGCAACATCCCTCTTCTCCCTCTTCCTCCACTCCCCACACGAAGATGAGTCCCCTGGTGAGAGCCTGCCCCCTCCCCTGCCTCCCCCCAGGACCACCAGCCGAAGCGTGTCTGCCAGAGGCCTTTCCACACCCATCCGCTACAGATGACTATTTTATACTCCCCCTAGGGCCCGCCGCTCCCTCCCCCCAGAGTCTTCTGGGCTTGCCAGATGCCTGCTCCCCTTCTGCAGGGATTGCAGGGGGCCACCAGGTAAGGGCCACCACCCGCTCCCGGCCACACAGAGCCCACGGGAATGGGAACGGAGCGGGCAGAAACGGAGAGTGGGGTGGGAAGCAGGCAGAGCTGCCCATTGTCCTTCAGCACACGCAGGGGGGTCAGAACCCCAGATAACCCCACTGAGCTGCAGGCATCTCCCACTGCCCTCATCCTCCTCCAAAGTGTGATACCCTCCACAGTGCGTAGCTGATGCTCTGGGACAGCACTATGAGGACACTCAGAGGCTCCCCACCATGGTCCCCAGCTCCCATCCTATCCCTGCCAGGGTTTGGCCCCGCTGCCCGCCCTGCCCTGCCCTCCCGCTGCCGGTCAGTGGTTTATGGATGGCCCCCTCCCTGCTCCGCCAGCTCTGCTGCCTGGCCCCTGCCCGGGGGCTGTAGCTCTCGGCGCCAGGCTCCAGTTCGCTTTCCCTCCCAACTCGCTCTTTTCTCTCTCTGCTGCGGAAAGAGGCTTTGGCTGATGTTGTCTCACCCCAGGTAGCTCGCAGGCGGTTCTCCCAGGTGCTGGCACCCCGAGAAACCGCCGCAGGGCGAGCGGTGGTGCCTCGCTGCCGGCTGGCAGGGGCGGCCGGCGGCTCTGGCTGTGCCCGCCGCACCCGTGCATGCTGACGCTGGGCGCTCACTGCATGGCCTCTGCTCACCACTGCCCACAGGCAGCCCGGGACCGCGCTCCTGCTGCCCGGCACACCGGCCTGGAGCTGCGCTCCCGTGGGACAAGTGGGCCCGGAGGCGGTTTTGTGATGGAATTGTGGCTGTGGGGATAGTGTCTCCCACAGGACCTCTGTCCTGTCTACTCTCAGCAGGCCCACACTGACCTCCCCTTTCCCCTTCTTCCCCTCTTTCTTCCCTTTCTTTCTCTCTTCTTCCACCAGCTGCCGGCGAGAGTAACATCTACCGGAAGCCCCCCATCTACAAGCGCCACGGTACGATCTGCCTGCTGCGATGTCCATCCCCATGTCCCCACGGGGACAGGACCAGCGTGGGGCTCGGTCCAGCTGAGTCATGTCCAGGGGCAGGGTGGGAGATGAGGGCAGGTGTCAGAATGGGATGTTTGGTTGCTGGGCTTTGGTGGTCTGATGCTCCTGCTTCCCCTCTGGACAGCGAGTGCAAGGTTCAGTGGGAGAAAGATGTAGCTTTGGACCACATCCCTGTTATGAGGGATGGAGGAGTAGGCTGTCAGCAACACCGGGGTAGATGTGGGAGGGCAAGCAAGGCCATGCTGGGGTGGTAGAGGGGACAAGGGTGGCCGTTGATAGACCAGAAGCCAGAGCAGCCTCAGAAAAGTGATGAAAAAGGTAATTTGTATTTTCACATGGAGCTCTGGAGAAAAGTCACAGCCCATCCTGGATGGATGTTCCAGGGTGAAACAGGCCTGGGGGGTATTGCCGGGTGGGGAGGGTGTTTAGTGTCTCTCAGTGGGGATGGATTGCACTGTCCCTGCTTGCTTCTCCATGTAGAGGGACAGCAGCTCCCCCCAGCAGTAACTGTGTCTCCTCTCTCTCCCTGGGCTCTCCCTTCCCTCCTGCCCAACTCCCACTGCCCCGCTGCTGGCTGCTCTTCCTGCTGTAAGTACCTGCTGTTGGCTGGGTCCCCTGTGCCTGCTGGAGGTGGTGGGATGGCCTGCTACACCTCCTGTCCTTGGTGCTCCTTCCCCTGCTGAGTCTCCTGGCCTCTGGTGCAGCAGGACTCTCCTCTGGGTTTCTCACCTATGCTGCTGAGGCTCAATCTGTGTGTGTCCCTGCCACGGGGGCCAAGCCCCTGCCAGCGCTCCTCTGCTCCTTCCCTCCTGCACAGCCCACTGCCACCTTCCCCTGGCAGTAACCCTAAGAGCCCTTTGCCTGCTGGGACTGAGCCTTCCTCAATCCCCTCTCTCAGTTACAGGTGACAGGAGAGCACAGGGGGGTTGGTGGCACTGGTGGAACTGGGACTGGGGTGAGCTCTATGCAGGAGTCAGTGCTTGTGGTGCCATGGGCTCTCAGCTATTTGGGTCCCTTCCCAACCACATCAGCGACAGCCCCTCTGCTTGTCACTGTCCCCACCATCTGCCTCAGCACCCTTGTCTCGAGGAGGTGTCAGCAGTTTGAAAGCTGATTATTCCCAGCTCTGCTACAGGCCGTCCCAGCCATGAATCACTGGCAGTCACTGGGGAGGGAAGAGGATTTGCCTTCATCCCAGAGTGGACCTCTACAAGCCCTCACTGTAGCTCTACCTGCTCCTTTTGCAGACAACCCCTCTGCAGCCACCAAAAGCAAAACCAGCGAAGACATCGCTCAGTCATCCAAGTACAGCCCGGCCTACTCCCCGGATCCGTACTACCACTCCGAGTCGGAGTACTGGCCCTTCCAAGGCTCACCCAAAGGTAATAAATGCCTGCTGGACTGCGAGAAAGGAAACCCCATTCCTGCCCCCTAACCCCAAACCCAGCCATTTCCTGGGAGGGAACTCTGCTCTCAGTTGCGTCTGGACCCGAAGGTGGGGCTGGGCTGAAGTACCTCCTGAAGTGACCTCCAAAATCGTGGGAGTCCCTGGGACTCAACTATTCCCATGCAGTTGGGAGTGTCTCCTCTGTACCTGCCTTCACTTTTGGCCCCATCTGACCCCCTCACATGTCTCGTTGCAGCCCCCCGGGCCCGGAGGTTCTCGTCAGGTGGTGAGGAGGATGGGTACGACCGGGGCATGCACAAGGTGAGTGATGTCCCTGCCCACAGCCTGGCAAGGGAGAGCCGACAGCAAACCACCCCTGGCTGGCTTTGGGGAGGAGGCTCAGCCTAGTTCTGCCACACAAGAAGGGGCCACCACTGTCCCTGCTGTCCTGTGCCATCTCTCCTGACCTTGGCCACCCCCAGCCCAGGTCTGAAGGAGCGGGAGTACACCCCCTTACCGAGGCTCCCCACCCCGGCACCTCATCCTCAGGGGTGGGGGAGCAGATGGGAGATGCTGAGCCCATGCCAGGAGATGCCATGCCCTGTCATGGTGTGCCAGCAGGCAGGGAGGGCTGGGCAGGAAAAGGAGGGGTGCGAGGTGGCTTTCCTTCCTCTACCCAGATCCAGAGTGGCATTGGCAGGCTGATCCTGAGGGAGGAGATGAAGGCTCGGTCCAACTCCTATGCAGACCCCTGGACACCCCCTCGCAGCTCAGCCAGCAGCAGAGAAGCCCTGCACACGACTGGCTATGAGGGCTCCCTCAACGGCTGTAAGGATGTCTGTCTGTCTGTCTGTCTGTCCCACCCAGCATGGCCCCAGCCCCTCTGGGAAGTTTGCTGGAGTGGAGAGGGAAGATTGAGACTAGGAAGGGGAAAGGAGAGGTGCTGAGCACAGAGTTGGCCTTGGAAAGCTCTTTTCCTCTCTAGAGAGCTTCATCCCTTCCCTGTGTCCCAGCTGGGATGGGGCATCACCTGGTGGGTGTCCAGGCAACCTGGTAAAGTGCCTTGTGGGGTGGCTGAAGGGTCCCTTGGGAATCTGGCAGCACAGCCACACAGGGATTGCTCTGAGCTGTTTGGGCTGGCTGCACCTGTGCCTCATTAGTGGCACCTCTGGGACCTCCTGGCACCCCAGACCTGCTGAGCAGCCCCGGGGCTGCCTTGCTTGCACTGTGCTTACCACACCGCACCCAGGGCACCCAGCCCGTCTGTCCCTGGGGCTACAGTGGGGCTGGGGGCGTTTGGGAGCCTGGCAGCACAGATGGCCCTGCCTGCTCCATGGTCTCCATCTTCATGGCACATCTGCCCTCATGGAGCTGGGGCTGTTTGGAGATGCTCAGGGAGCCCCTCAGCCCTGCGGGGCTCAAGGGAGCCCCAAGGAGGACCCGTGGGGCTGGGAACAGGCAGCACTGCATGGCACGGGGTGCTTGGTCCTCCCTGACACCTGGCTCTGCTCTCCTTGCAGCTCCCAGAACCCACTACCTGGCTGACAGCGGTGAGTGTGTGACCCTACAGCCCTCCATGCCTGGTCCCCCATGGCTGGGGGGTCTGGAGCCCGAGCTGGAGGAGATGCTAGGACCAGGGAGGGAAGAAGGGAAGTGAAAAAGGAGCCCTTGAAAGCCTGGGCGAGGGTAGAGCTGAACCAGGGCAGAGCTGGTGGCAGCGCCGGGAGAGGATGAGTCAGAGAAACTGAGAGAGGAGAATGTGTTGTGCTGAAGGGTGAAGCGGAAAGGCTGCCATGGGAAAGGGATTTGGGGGAGAGGAATATCAGCACAGGAGGAAGCCAGGCTGGAAATGAGTTGGAGCTGGAAGGAGACAGAGCTGGGTGACTGTGGAGCTGGGTAGTCACATGGGAGCACAGAGGCAGGGTGGCCCAATGGGTACTGTCCTGGGATCTGAGGCTCATCCCTGCATTTTCTATTGCTCATCTTGCTGGCTTCTTTGCAGATCCTCTCATTTCTAAGTCGGCCTCCCTTCCTGCCTACAGGAGGAATGGGCTGCACAGGGTAAGTGCCTCCTGTCCACATCCATCCTGCTGCCAAGCATCTCAGTGCTGTTTATCATTCTTCCCGGGCTCCTTAAAGCCCCCAGTGCTGCCCTGCCAGACTAGGGTGTCCTGCTTCTCCCTTCTCTTCATCCCTGCTGTCAGTGCTGCCCTGTGCCAATCCACAATGACCTTTACTGGGGTCCAAAGTGAGTTGTCCAGGCAATGCCTGCCCTGAACCTTCCACAGGCATGTTTCAGAGGGGTGCTGGTGTTGCTTTCCAGCACAGGAGCTTTGCTTCATATCTGGGGCTAGTGATTGCTTGGGATCAGGAGCTCTGGTCCTGCCTCTGTATGATTTGGGCTTGTCACTTCACCTCCTTCTGCCTCAGTTTCTCCACTGCCAGCTGTGGGGAGCGGGTCCTGCTTTGGCACAGTGGGGTGCCTTCTCTCCTGGGAACATGGGAGATGCCGTGCTGAGTGCCTGGAGGAGACCCCCTCTTACCCCTCCTCCCTGTGTTCCTCCCACAGCCTCCCAGCGCTGAGCTGTTCCACTACGACAGCACGAATGCCGTCAACTGGGGGATGCGAGGTAAGGGGCCACGGAGCCAGGGACCCTGTAGGCATTCTAGAGCCAGACCCTGTGGGGCTGCAACCCCCACACACACGCGCACACACACAGGCAGTTCTGGAAAATGAGGTTGGAGGGAGGATGGTGGGAGATCCTGGTGGCAGAGGGGTCAGCGTGGCTCATGTCTCTCTTTTCTCTCTCCCCACAGAGTACAAGGTAAGATGCTTCTGCTGCAAGGATTGGCTGTCAGCCAGAGGTGGGAGTTCCATAGATGTGTCTGTGTGTCCCTGGGCTCTTCAGGGGGAAGTTTTGCTCTCTTCCTGCAATGCCCTGCCTTCGTCCCCCTCCGTCCCCTACCTGACAGCCCCATCCCAGGACTGCTGGGCTCGGACCAGAGTCCGTCCCCTCCTGCCAGGGTCCCAAGCACTTGGATGAGCAGAATTGTCTCCTGGGTGAGGAACAGAGAAAGCTGTTTGTGCCATGATTTCCTACTCGCATCTGTACCTGGGTCACTCCTGGTTTTGCAGAATGAGCAGGCTATTCCAGAGCCACTAAGGGGATTTAAGGTGGATCAGGATCACCCTGAGAGCAAGTCCCTCCTAGGCCTTGTCCCATCCAATCGCTGGAGTCAGCTGTGCCACCCAAACACTGCTAAATGTGGCAGGAGGAGGTTTTGCTTGGTGGTCCCCATGTGTGCCCCCATGTGTCCCAAGTGTGCCTCAGTTGTCTTCCTCTGGCTCTGGAGCTGCCTCATGGTCTTCCTGTCCCCGTGCAGATATACCCCTATGAGCTGCTCCTGGTGAAGACAAGGGGGAGGAGCCAGCTGCCCAAAGATGTGGACAGGACTCGGTTAGAGGTGAGAACAGCCTTTTTCACTGGGAACTATCTCCTCAGGGCACAGAGGGACCTGATCCCATGGGGTGTCCCTTTAGCCCCAGCAGGTGGCGTGTGGCTATGAGGGGCTCATGGATGTGTAGAAGCATCTCCATGTCTCCCCAGGAGAACTGTCACAGTGGCCCTGCTGCTCCACTGGCCAAGCAGAGCTGTTCCTCGTGCCCACAGCACAATTGTGTTTGGCAGGGGCAGGAGGCAGGCGGGTTCTCCCCCTCTCCAGAGTGAGAAGTGCTGGGAGTTGTGGCACCCCATTGCCCCAGGCGGGCAGGAGATGCCTTCAGAGCCCCTCCAGCCTGGGTGGTTGCTGTTGGCCCTGGGTGGTGGCCAGAGTCCCCAGCTCTGGCCCAGCATCCTGTCTCTCCCCAGCGGCACCTTTCCCAGGAGGAATTCTACCAGATCTTCGGCATGACCATCGCAGAGTTCGACCGCCTGGCCCTGTGGAAGAGGAATGAGCTGAAGAAGCAGGCCCGGCTGTTTTAAATGCAGTGCACTATAAATATATACATACCTATAAATATATACATAGAGAGATCTCTATATTGCAGCTCTACATGATTCTCGGTGCTGTACGGGGCAGAGGTGCCCTCTGCGCCCCTGAGAGTGAATTGGAGTCTCGCAGATCATTTTATGCTCTGTGTTTCCTTTACTTTCCCAACCTTGTTTCTGTATCAATCTGTGGGTTCTCCTGGGAGCTAAAGCCACGTGGGTCCTGAAGCATTTGCTATCTGTCACTGCTGCCCCAGAGGGACATGATGGGAGGCGGGAGGATTTTCCTGCTGCAGCCACAGCACCCAGGGCTGGGGGAGAGCAGGGCTCTGGGGTGGGTTTGGGTTGGGGGGGGCCCATCCCCCTCTGCTCAGCTGCTCTGTGAATTTACTTATGGGTTGGAAAAGGCCCTGGGCACAATTGCAGGAAAGTGGGATCTCAGTAGGAGCTCCTTAAACCCCTCCCTGCCTTTACATGCCATGACTGGGGGCACCTTTGGGATCAGAAATGCAGAGCTTGGGGCATGGGACAGGAGAAGTGGTGAGGACCCCATGGGGAGCTGGGTGCACCCCCATGTCCAAGGTGAGAGCCTGAGCCCTGATGCCTCCAGGGCTGTTGGCTTTCCCTGCAAGCCCCATATTACCAGTTTATCCTCCCAAGGTGCCAGAATGGCGGCTTTCCAGGCCAACCCAAAACCAAGCTCTTCTTAAATGAAATAGCCAAAGCCACCTCCTGCCTTGTGCAGTTTCTTGCTGTTCTTGAGGTTTATCCAGGGTCAAGAGGGGACACACTGGGGTACCCAGTCCTGGGCCCCAGTGCTTGGGCTCTGAGGCCTCAGCACTCATGGGAATGGTGGGGGTATTCCAGCTGGCAGATGGGGGAAAGACCAGAGACAGGGAGGTGGGGATGCCAGTCCCACTAACTGCTGGACCTCTCCTGGGTTTACCTGAATTACCCCATCACGGATGCCTGAGTCCCTGATGAATCCCTCTGCAAGCCTCTGGGAATGATGGGCATTCCCAGGACCATTCAGCATTCCCTCCACTGCAAACTATTGGTTTGGGGGAGGGGAGGTTGACTTATTTTTTTCATAAAACTAATAAGGTTATTTCCACTCAAACATTTTTCCTGGTGTCTGTGGTGCTCTGGTTTCCTATTTGCTTGTCCATCACAATTTTCAGGCGTGTGACGGGACTGAACTGTCACAAACAGGCCAGGAAGCTGTAGGATATCTCTGCAGGAGCCGGGTCAGCAGAGTTCCTCTGAAGGTACAGCAAGGGTCAGCTCTGGGAGCTTTACACCAACATAGGAGGGGCTGGGGACTCAGGTGGATATGGCACTATTTCCCTGGTAGTGGCCCCTGTGTGCTTTACAGCAGCACTAATTGAACCAATTTTATTTATAATTGTTTTACTCATACAAACTGCGGCTCCCTAAATCAAGCTTAACTGTTTGTGGCTACAGGAAACTTCTGTCTCCAGCAGCAGTTTCAGTGATAAAGCCTGGAGGATATTGTTAATAACAATAATAACAGAACAGCAGGAGTCTTTTCATTTCCAAATCATTTTATGGACAGTAACTAACTGTTCTCCACAACAGCCTGCGTGGCAAAGGTGCGGAAACTGAGGCAGGACTCAGTGCTCCCTCCCAGAGCCAAGGCAGCCTCTCTGGCTCATACCATTCTGGGGCAGCAGACACCTCGTGGGTCCCTCATGGGTTGTGCAGAAGGTACCCAGGTGTCAGCACCTGTCCTGGAAGAAATCCCTGCCTGAGCCCATCCTCTCATTTGGCTGCTCTGCAATTCCCAGCCACAAAGCAGCCCAAGCCTGCCAGTGCTGGCAGCCCTGGCTCGTGAGCACCCCATGCCCTGACCACAGGTGACCCCACGTTATAAGAGAAAATCAGGGCTGGACCCAGACAGGAGGGACCAGCAAACACCTTCCAGGCAGGCAGCAGTGTCTGGGCAGGAGCTGGCTCCCAGCCGGTCATGGAGGCGTGAGAGAGGCTGCTGCCTCCGAGCAACCCTGGGCTGAGTGTGCCCCAAATGGGGAATTCCTCGAGGCCAGTTGCTAATTCCCGTCTGATATTTCAATTATTGCTTTCCCAAGCGATAACTGGGTATGTGTGATTGACATATTTCTGTCACAACCTGCTGCCCCCAGAGGGGTGCCAGGAGCCACTGTCCTTGCTGCCACACGTGGGGCACCCTCTCACACACCCCACAAGTCTCCCAAGTCCAGCTCGCCCTTGAGGGGGGAGGGACAGTGACAGTGGCATGAGCACCGTGGCCAGGCAGAGGCCGGGCACATGAGGGGCACGGGGTAGGAGCAGATATGGAAGGGGTTTGGGGGTAGCTGTGCTTGCTCACAGCACGTGCGTTTGGGTGTGGGAATTCGGTATTTTTTCCCAAAACCGAAGCTGCCCAACCCAACAACCCCCGCGAGCAGGTGAAGGTGCTCCCACTCTAGACCCCCGCAAGCCGCGCAAGGGGGGGTCGTGGGAGGTGGGCGCTGCAGGGCTGCACACGGAGGGTCCCCATCTCTAGGGACAACCCTTCCGCCCGTGCTGCCGGCGCGGAACCCCCCGGGCCGTGTCCCGGTGCCGTGCCGGGCCGTGCCGGCGCTCGGCGCTGCCGTGCAGCGAGGGAGGGGCGGTCGAAGGGATTGGCCGCTCCGCACCGAGAGCCGGCCCCGCCGGGCGGCTGCTGCCCCTGACACTCGCCCGCCCGCGCCTCCCGGGGCGGCCGGTGCTGCCCGCGGCTCCGGGACCATGGACCGGCTCAGCGGTAAGAGGGGACGGGACGGGACGGGACGGGACGAGCATCCCCTTTCCCTGGAGCACGGCGCGGAGGGCAGAAGGGTTTCCCATCCCAGTTCCAGGCTGGGAGCCGCGCGTCCCATCCCAGCCAAGCGGGTGCGTCTCACGGGATCGATGTGGGACCCGGCTCCCAGGGTGCCTTCGCCCCTTACCAGTCTTGCGGCAGAGCCAGTTGGGGCACAAAGTGGTGCCAGTTTCCCTTTACTGGTCAGATGGGTAAGAAGCCATCAGCCTGCAAGGAAGCCTATAGGGTGTAAGCACTTGTTAGGGGAAATTGTGGTTGTAGAAAGGGAGGTGACATTTCCAGATAGAGCTGGTCAGATTTAAAGGGTTTCCCTATCTGGGGAAGATGCCAGTGGTCTCATAAAGCCACGGAGGGCCTGATCCCCACCCTGCTGGGAAGCGGCTGCGTTCCCACATGTGTGTGATTCCTGCCTGCAGCTTGTGGCATCGGGCTCACGTAGCTGTTAGGCTTTGATCTGGGATATGTATAAACCTGCCAGGGCTTTGGGCCAACTTTGTAGAGAAGGTCCTGGCTTTCTGCTAGGTCCTGGCAGGTCCCTGGAGGGAGTGGAGAAAAACTTTCAGGGGGATTGCTGTTTGCTGCTGCTGAGCAGGGGCCTGGGGCTGCAGAGGAGGAGCAGGTGGTGACATGATGTAGCACGGGGGTCCTGGCCCTTGACCTGTCCTTGAAGGTGCTACAGAAGCCCCAGCCAAAAACGATAACAGGGAGGCCAGGGGTCTCAATCTGGCTCCACAGGCTGGGACCACGCTGAAATCCCAGGGGGTTCAGGCACTGCTGTGTCTGCAGCTGTGGGTCAGCACCAGAAAGACCCAAGGGTCAAGAGTTCCCCTTCCCGATGTAAAAGGATGGGGTGGCGTTTCCGCAGTGGAAACACAGTTATGAGGACTTTGAGACTTGTGGAAACACAGCTCATGGTGTCAGTGCTCGGAGAGCAGTGTCAGTGCCCTGCAGCCCGGGAGGGGACTGGGCTGGTGACAGGGACAGCCTTCCTCCACCTTCCCCTGTGGCTGCAGCTCGCCCTGCCTGCCAGCCAGGGTGCCTTTGCCAGCTCTGAAGGAGGGTGCTGTTGCAGGAGTGTTGTCAAATGACATGTGATGCCAGAGCTGTCCTTCAGGGTCCCAGAGGACATCACCAATGGGGACGGGAGAGCAGAGGATCTCGGCTTCCCTGTTCTCCTGCTGTGCAAGCTGATGGGAGGTTACTCTGCTTGCACCTCAGTCCACCCCAGAAATCAATCCTGGCACCTCATGGCAGAGGATGCCCAGCACACTGTGGAAACCTGATGTCTGGGCATGGTTTGGCCTCTGCACAGGTTGGCCCTGCCAGGGAAGAGCCCCTCTGCTGCTTCATCCCCCTCACTGGTGCCTGGTATGGCAGCAGCAGCAGAGCCTGCTTTGTTTTAAGTGCTTGTGATGAATTGCTGTTGGCACCTGGATGGCTCTTTGCTAATGTAAACCTCCTCCAGACCCTCCTGCTTGTCATCCAGAGCCACTGGATCCTTCTGGGGAGCTGTGACGCATGGAGGGAAAGAGGGGGGTTCTCTCCAGGATCCCTTCCCTAGTGCAAGGGGTGGTGGGCAGGAGCTCTGTGCCCCATTCCCAGCTGCCTGGCAGCTCCTTTCTTCACCTGGAGCTCTGCTCAGGCCCTGGTGCATCCTGACTTTATGATCTGCCAACTTCTTCAGTACTTTCCATGCTCCAGCTGAGCCTGCTGCCTTCCCCAGCAGGCTGGGCAGCACCCAGTGCAGGGCTCAGCTCTACACCAGTGGCTAACTGGGGAAAATGGTGCTGTGGGCTGTTGGGGAGCGTTGGAGAACACAGCTCACAGTGTGTGATTTGGGAGGTAATTTGTGCCAGAGCCTTTGCTCTAACAGGCCTGTGCTCACACATGGCTTCTCCTCATTAGTGCCTCTTCCATGACCTTTTGTGCCACCAGAATTTAGGTCCTGCACCAAACTTATCTGGGGTCTAAATCCAGCAAAGCCGGTGGAGATGTGTCAGGGATAAAGTTGGCTCCAGCTCGCCCACAGGAATGGGGAGGTTGCAGGACTGGTGGGAGGGAGCCCAGATCATTCCTGACCTGCCGCCTCAAGCTGGCAGCCGGAATCCCGCCGGCCCCGCGCCGATGGAAGGGGTGCGGAGTGGGTGAGAAACACTGACCGGGCCAGCTGTTAGCGAGCCAGGCAAGTGCCGAGCTCTCCTCCGCATTGCAGCCATTCCTTCCGCTGGAAACTCAGCTGCCCGAGGCCACCGCCTGTTTATAGCCAGGCAGCGTGTGGGGAAGGGGCCGAGCCCCCCTCGGGCTGCCCCGACCCCTTAGTGCTGGGCAAAGCGGGGCGAGAGGGCGGCCCCAGGGATGCTGATGCGAGTGGAACAGGGAAGCGCTGGAGGCTTTGTGCAGCCTTGGTTTACGCAGGGAAATAGGTCTCGCTGGAGGCACTGGATCCCTGCTGAAGCCAGCCTGGCTGCTCTGGAGGGGCACAGACCTGCCTGCCCTGCACGGGCGCCTGCTGCAGAGGGGCTGCTGGAGAGGGGAAGGAGGTTGCTGCGGGGTTAGTGTCCTCCAGCCAGGAGCCCTGGGGACTGTCCTATCTGCCTGGGCTGTCTGGAAAACCTGCCTCTTTTCCCGCGTTTGCTCTTGACCTGGAAATGCTGTTTTCCGGTGCGAATGTGCTGAGCTGCGAGGCTGACGTGCCCTTTGCTATGGAGCAGAACTGAGCTCCGATGTGCCTGCAGCTGGCAGGAGGTTCTTATCCCTGCCCAAGAAAACTTTGTTTAAGGCTTTGAAGAAGTTGTCTCATCCCAAACAGTGGGAGGCCTTTTCAGAGGAGGACAGGGAGTGAACCCAAGATTTGCCTGTCTTTCAGTAGCCAAATAACTTGCTGGGGACGGAAGATAAGAGGAGGCTTGAAGTGGTTTCTGGCATCCCAGACTTATGTCCTAACCCCTTAACCCTTCCCTACTACCTAGTCTGGCACAGCTAAACTCCCTCCTGAGGAACATACATCTCCTGCATATAAGGAACCTTAAAATTAATGGCATAACTCTCCATCCTGTAAAATATCTATTAAATGTCACTCTTCCAGGGCATCAGCAGGACAACCAGGTTGGAAACCTCCCAAGGAGTTCAGCATAGTCTCTGCCAGCCCTGCACAAACAAGGGGCTGGCACCCCTGCCAGGGCACCCACGAGGTAAAGAGAGCAGGGAGGGCACCCTGGCAGCCAGCAGCAGTCTGTCATCACCCTAAGGTGCTAAAAGCAGCGGCATTTGGGGAGCTCAGGTCCCTGTGTGGATGCTGGACTGACGATCTGCAGCCTCTGCAGTGGGAAAGGATGAAAATAACCTCTTTGGGCCTCCCCTCACGGCATGGCTGCTGCAGCCCCTTCCATTTCTGCTCCCGATATGCCTCCCATCGCATCAAAGCCGGCTCTTTGGCAGGCAAGGGAAAACACTGACATTTCGTAACAGTTTGGAACGAAAACAGAGCTTTGCTGCAAGGGGTTTCCATGCTCAAAATGCTTTTTTTTTTTTTTAAAGTGGGTTTCATGTGCATGTGATCCTGGAAGTGATAAGAGGGAGCTCTGGGCGACGCTGGTATGCTCTGATTGCAGGCAATTAGTAGGAGATGTGCAAGGAGCAGTTTGAAGAATGGCTTTGGCTTTCTTCTGGGGTTTTTTGAACATTAAACCCACCCAACTTTGTGACAGGGGAATAGCCCCATTTTGTCTCCTGGTCCGGTGGATTCAAGCGCCCATTTTACGGGGCTCAAAGTTTTGGGAAGCACTTTGCGAATCTGAGGTTGTGAAGGGCAGAGCCAGGAACAGAGGTTATGTAGCAACAGGTTTGATAGCCGGCTGCGTGTCCTGGAGTTAAAAACAGGTACAGCTGACCCAGCCCCAGCACTGGTGGAGCCATCGGCAACAACCAGAGCAGTCTCATCCTCCCCTGTGCTCAAGCTTGTCAGCATTCCCGCCGGGATAAACCGGCTTTCCTGCCCCTCCAGCCCTGCCCCGCAGGGGTTAAGCGGGTAGGAAATGCTGTCGGATGGTGGCCTTGCCGCTGCACCTGATGCTCCCGGCGGAGCTTGGCAAGGGAAGGAAACGGAAGGGCTGTTCTCAGCTGAGAAAATACGCTTATCCTGCTCTCTGAGGGTCCTCCAGAGCAGCACAGCCCTGGCCCCCATACAGTGAGACCCTCTGCTGTGCCCTGCCTGTCCCGGCCTGGGAACATCAGGGCAGGGCTGAGGTGGCCACTGAGAGGGTCCCAATCCCCACACCAGGCAGGGAGGACTCATGCCCAGCACAGCTCCAGAACTCCTGGGCATTTTTGAGGGCAGGGCAGAGATGCCAACAGTGGGGGCTGAGTGCTGGATGTACATCTCCCTCCCCCCGGGTTCCCAGAGATATTTTCCCCACAGGGAGTCTATGGTTTCTCCTCCCACCACCTCTGAAAATAAGTGTCCATATCGTGCAATGCTGTTGAAAGCATTTGGGAAAGTGGAGGTGGATGATGATTGATCCACCAGCTCCTTCCTGCAAATCCCTCACCCACCCTGCCCATCAAGCTGCTTGGTGAAGGTCCTGGACCATCCTCTCCTTCTGAGGGTCCAGCCACAACCTCCTCATGTGACTCTTCCTCCTAGGAAGATGTGTCAGCCCTGCCGGCCTTCCTGTGTCTCACTCCCACAGGTCGGGTACTGCATTCGAGGCGTTTTGGATCTTGGCTTTGGGGAAGGGGAATGAATAGGACACAAAGAGGTGTCTTTTGGGATGCAGAGATCTTTCCATCAGCCACCAGCAGGGCTGAGGTGCCCATTTTGGAGATGTGGGGGCTGGATCTGGCCCTGGGTGGTGGCATGGCCATGCCTGCCTGGGTGCAGGGGCAGTGGGAAGGACATGCCAGCATCAGCCCCAGGGTGCTGAGTCAGAGGGCTTCCCACCACA